TCTTTAAGAATAACTTTAGTTTATCTCACCACCTTTACTTCCCTTTTACCTTTCAATCACCTTACCTAGTCAGGACTGGGACGGGGCAACACGAGGGGCGTGACGGCAGGCCCGGCCTCAAGCCGGCATCCCCTCTGGTCTGCTCTGCTCTCCGCAGCCTCTCTCCTTCCTTACAGAGGACTCATACGATCCTTTGGGGAAGATTGGACCCCAAATTCAGTTGGTCAAAAAAGGCATAGTCTCCATATTTCAAAACAAAACCAAAAACAACCGATTGGCCCCGGCCTAGTAGCTCAGTTGGTCAGACCCCTGTCCCAGTACGCCAAGGCTGTAGGTTTGATCCCCAGTCAGGGCACCCACAAGAATGAACCAGTGAATGCGTCAGTAAGTGGAACAACAAACCTTTGTTTCTCTCTCTCCCTTAAATCAAGAAATAAAACAACGAACACACTACCCATCTGGAGGGTTCACAGGCTTCGAGACTCCAGTTGCTCTGCAAGACTGGACGGGGACTAGCTCGGAGATAGCGTAGTGCTGGCAGGCTGCTGAGAGAGAAGCCTCGCCTTGTTCCCAGAAGCCGGGAGCCCTATGGGAGTGTCGTGGGCCCAGGACCTCGCCCTCTGGCAGGCATACATGAGCACCAGCTCCTGCCCAGGGCTGCCACCAGGAGGGCAAAGGAAGAGGGTGGGGACCCGCAGTCAAGAGGGCTGGCAAGGCTCTCGCCGGTCTGACCCTGGACATTTGTCAAGTATTTTGAATTTCTCTTTAAGGCTTTTTTTAACCCACGCGATGAAATCCTTTTTATTCTACTCAGTTTATAAGGTAGAATTAAATGGTCCGTTTAACAGCAAGGGAGTGAAATCATAGCCTCTTCTTTGTTGAGGGCAGGTCTTCACAACTCCCTTCATCACAAGAACCCAAGGAGGCACTGGCTGTGTCTAGAATGATCGCCAGCTGGGTTCCCAGAGAGGCACAGTTGTCTCTTTGTGAGACCTGCCCTTTTTAGACTGTCTCCCAGTAACTATAGCCCTGCATATAAGTAAAGAGGCCTGAGAGCTCCAGGAACCAGTCTGCCTGCCTGCACCTTCCCCCAGAGAAGTGTATTCAGTATTAGGTGCTCGTCTTTCATGCATTCACCAGGAACTGAAGAAGTAAAGTTCTGAGCACCATTACGGGCCAGGCAGAGATCCTGTACAGCAAAGTAATGAGTGTTAGTATGGCCTCAGGGTCAAGCATTAACTCACCCTACCTAGTACATTTCTAACCTGTTAAATGTCCAGCCAGTCTCCTGTCCCCCCTGAGCTGTGTTGTGGAAGGGAAAGCAGATGTGGACACAGACATATACAGGAGTTGAGAGTGACAACCAGGGCTGAAGGAGCACCTCCTATTGGAGACAGGGATTCTCATGGCAGAAGGAAAGAGTATTTGAATGTTTGGACAAGCTGTACATCATGTTTGCTCATGAGCTGTTGCCTAAAGAAAGCCACAGGCCCTGCCAATGTTCTTTTCAGCCATTCTTCCCAGGCTGCAGCTTTTGAGGTGCCGTGGCACGGGCAGCAGGTGGATGCCTACCCGAGATGGCAGTCCCTTGGGGGAGACTGTAAGGCTCAGAATGCTGGGGAAGCCCTTAACAATGATGCTCCTCTTGCTGCCCCAAAAGGACTCTGTAGGGTGGCCTAACCTTTAACTAGGTGCTTCTCAGTGCCAGTCACCTGGACATCCATTCTTCTTCGAATGCCCAGTGTATTGTCAGCTCAGGCTGCCTTAATGCAATACCACAGACTGGGGGACTGAAACAGCAGAAATGTGTTTTCTCATAGTTCCAGAGGGTAGAAATCCAAGATCAAGGTGTAGGCAGAGTTGGCTTTTGGTGAGGACTTTCCTCTTGGCTTGCAAGCAGCTGCCTTCTTGCTGTCTGCTTACATGGCCTTCCCTCTGGTCTCTCTTCCTCTACAAGGACACTGGTCCTGCTGGGTCAGAGTGCACGCGTATGACCTCCTTTAATCTCAGCTCCCTCCTGAGAGGCCCCATATCCAAATACATTGCAGGTTAGAGCTTCAACCTGTGGGTTTTGGAGGATACAGTTTAGTCCATAACAGCCCATGTCCCTGGGGTAGGGCAGCATTTACAATACATAAGTCAGTGTTCTCAATAAGCCTGCAAGGAAGTGATCAGAATCGTCATTTCCACCTTTCAGATAAGGAGGATGAAGTAACTTCTTAGTAAGTACAGGATCCTGGACTAGAACTGTTTCTTTGATTCTAAATCACATGTTCTTTGATTTGCCACACAGAATGTTGGCCTTATGAACACTGGAAATGAAATACTGCACATTTATTGAATTAATAAGCATTATGTAATATATGGAAAATTATTTACCAAATAATATTAAGTACAAAAATAGATCACAAAAATATATGTCCTTTGTGGGTACAACCATGTAAAAATTATGGATAAAAAACTATGGATACCCAGTCAGGGCACATGCCTGGGTTGCAGGCCGGTTCCCTGCAGGCCAGTTCCCAGCAGGGGACGCACGAAAGGCAACCACACATTGATGTTTCTCCTCCTCTCTCCTTCCCTTCCCCTCTAAAGATAAATAAATAAATATCTAAAACAAAACAAAACTATGGATAAAACTTCAAAGAAACAAAAAAGTACAGGGTGGAAAAAAAGCAGGTTTACAATTGTTCATATGGAAAATAATAATAAAAATGCAAGAATAAACTGTTTTGTGTACTCATATCTATAAATCTGCTCTCCCCTTTGTACTTTGTCTTTAGGGTGGCAGGGTTTTATTGTTTTTTTTTAATTGACTTAAGAAATACACTTTTAAATGACAGAATTTTAGCTCTAGCAAGCAAGACAAGTTACAAGTTGGTGGAAATCAGAGAACCATGTGTCCATAGTCACTAGTTTCGGGGACCCAGAGACTTATGCCAGGTGTCACACACCATAGTGTTTGACAGGCCACTTCACTCCAAAACCCCTTGGCCCCAGCGTCCCAGGCCGGACGGCTGCTCTAACTCCTCTGACCAGCAAGGCAGGGGAGCCCTGGGACTTGAGAAGGCTGGAGCCGAATGTAGTTTGGATGATCAGCTACTGTAGGGGCAGGAATGGAAGCTGGGCCACAGCAAGGAAGAAAAGAAAATGCCGAATGTAAGCAAAGGCTGTCCCCCCAACACCGAGTCCAAGCAGCACCAGATTTGGGCCAGTAGGGGTTAATGCAAAAAAGGCAAGTGCAAATAGAGAATGTGTGTGTAATAGGAAGTTGGGGAACTCACCAAGAGCTTTCTGAGACCCTCAGCCCTGGTAGGCTGGTCCCCCGGAGCCCATCTGGTCCTGGCTGTGCTCTGAGACTCCCCGATGGAAGTGCCGTGTTCGCAGGCACATTGAGTGTTACCATCGTGGAGGTACGACTTTGTTACTGGAGGGTGCTCCCCTTTCATCCGGGAACAGTGATCTGAACCGTGTCTGTTTTGTGACCAGGTTCTGATAAAATGTGCTGTGCTGCGCATCCCCTGGGTTAGCACAGGCGTTGAGGGCATCACGCACCCTTGAGTGCACCTGTCACAATGCGTGTTTTTTTTCCAGGCCCAGAAGCAGCTCCTAGTAAGATCTCTCTCTCGTAGGGGTTGATAGATTTAGATTGCACAAACAGATTGAAACCAACTAAATCAGCCCAAACATGTTATCAGCCCACTCAGGAAAAATAGCAGTAAGTTCCAACTCCCATGAGAAAATCCACATATTTTACAAAGAAAAGTGAGCAATTGATTCTCAGCCGAAGGAAGCTCCCTATAAAAACATCCCTCCAGAGGACTCCTTTCATAGTATGCGAGCTATTTTACATATGATTCAGTCGAACTAAAGATCTTGTCTCACGTATTTCACAAGTATTTCACAAACGTGCACACCTCTGTGTAGGCCACGTGCACACACCTGGCCCCGCTGTGTAAGATGCAGCAGTCCAGCCTAGGGTTTGTTCTTTGATAACCAAAAACGTCCTTTATTGTGCCATCCTCAGAAATGGTAAGAGTGTGCCCCTGCACCCCCGAACGAAGGATTTTGGATTTATTGACCATGGGTTTGTTTGTTATTGACCTTGAATATGGTTGTACTTTCACTCCTGTCATTTTGGGAGTAATGAGTTGCATGCTTTCCACTTGTATTTAGAGAGCATTCTTTTTTCTCTGTAACTCAGCCTACAAAGTCAAATGTCTAGCACGCCGAGTCGGTGCAGCGGTCCGGCTTGAGTGCTGAAAGCACAGGGGTGGGACCAGTGTGGCCAGGGGTTCCACTTTTTCCCTGGGAGCCTCTAAGTCTGGATTTTTTAAAGGTTTTATTTATTTTTAGAGGGGAAGAAACATCAATGTGTGGTTGCCTCTCACACGCCCCCACTGAGGACCTGGCCCAAAACCCAGGCATGTGCCCTGACCGGGCATCGAGCAGGCACCCCTTTGCTTCACAGCCCGCGCTCAATCCACTGAGCTACACCAGCCAGGGCTAAGTCTGAATTTTTAAACATTGTCAATTGAGTCAAAATTATAAAAAGTCACTCTGCAGAATAAATAGACCCCAGTCCATAGTGATCTCATTTTATTTCTGATACCGTATCTCTGTTTCTGGACAGTGGATACTATAGGCGTCCACTTTATTTCCATCTTAAATTTTACATTTTACATCTTTTACCTTTCAAGTGTACTTCCTAGTTGCTGGGATTCGATGTGTGAATCAATAGTGCCCTGATTCTCCACCTCCTAACTCTGACAACTTACATTAATGTATTATCCTTTCAGTTCTCGTCTCAGCACACGAAAGACTATTTTTAATTACTCTGTAACTATAGAGAAATGCCTACCTTATTTGCCTTGACCGAGGCACCGTCATGTAGGAAAACTGGATGATCACTCTTGGACTTGTTTATTTGTACCGGTTGTTGTTGAGAGTCACTGGCACTTCCGTGCTCACAGGCCACTCTCCTTCCTTTCTCTCCGCAGCCCTTCCACCAGGTGGACAGCATACGCGGGACCCGCCACCACGGGCTGGTGGAGAGGGCCTCGAGGACCCGCTACCACCCCCTCCACCGGCGTCCAGCCGACAAGCCGGGACGACAAATATCCTTTCTCGTCTGAGGAGAGTATGGGTTTGGAGATGTTTGGAAGGTTTTCAGGATTTGTCTTCTCTGCAATTCCTCTTTGGCTTCAAAACCCTCCTTTTAGCTGATGAATGGAGGCAATAAAAATAAGTGAGTTGGAAACTGGAAGCATCTCTGCAGCCGTTGGGAAGATCATTGCAGGTGTTTACAAAAGCATCAATAAGGTTCCATGTGATGGAGTAACTGAACGTAAGCAGCATGTAATTCAGCCCCATCGCAAGGCTCTCTCAGCACTTGCCTGAGAAGTCAGTAGTCAGAGTTAAAGCTGACTTTGAATCACTTTGAGAGATCTAGTTATCTAGCCAAAACAGCTAAACGGTTATGTGATTTATGTTTGTTTCTGTTGACCTGACCTGCTGTTAGGACTTACAGAAGAAATTTCATATGATTTTCTATTTATGGAGTTTCAAACTCAGTGAATGACAACCAAAGTATAAAGCTGGTATTTAGGAAAATTCTTACACAGTGAGGCACACTCCTGGCTGTTCAGTGGGAACAGAGAGAAAGGGGCGAAGTCACCTGACGGCTTTATTTGCCCAGACCTTCTCAGGGGCCGAACGGGCTGGGCTGTCCTGCTGGACGAGCAGCGCTGTGCTGAGGGCTTGGCTTGGGGGGCACAGAACCCATCCGGATTTTGGGGTGAGGACGTAGAGTAAGCGCTCTGGGGGGTCTTGCTCGCCCTCTCCACTGCTCACACACGGAGGTGAAGAAGGCACAGAGGTGGGGAGAGTCTTACTGCAGAGCTGAATTCCTGGCAGTGGTGGTAGAATTGGCTTCCGTGGCCTGAAAACCAGGAAGTGGGGGGGAGGACACCATGTTTACTGAGCACCTCCCCATGCCAGGCACTGTGCTGGGCAGCTTGCATGTCATTTAGTCCTCAGGATTTACCGAATGGTTTATTTTTTTAACCCCATTTTCTGGTGAGGAGACTGAGTGCTCAAGTTTCTGGCCCAAGATTCCCCTGTGGAGGTTGGGGGAGCCCAGATTCAGCTCGGGTCAGGCTGACTGCCCAGCCTGGGCCCACCCCTCAGTGCACCACAAATGCCCACTCGGTCGTGCCCAGGACCACAGGCAAGGAAGGCTCGTGGGGGAGCTGTGGGGTGCACAGAGGAGGCTGCTGCCTTTCTTGCCTCCAGGCTCCCTGCAGTTTTTCAACTATTCCAGGCAGAGGATGTTCCCTGGGGACAGTTCTCTGTCCCCTCCCTTCTGCCCCCAGGGACGTAACTCACTGGTTCCCGGACTCCTCGTTGTGGACACTGTGTGGCTGTTATTAGGGAAAGGCAGATGACAGCTGATGTTGAGAATTCGTTTCTGGGACGTGTGGTGGTTTCACACGGAATGCAGAAGGAAAGGAGAGTGAGGCGGGGCCTCAGCAGATTCACATGTGTGTGGGTGGGGCCTGCCTCAGACCCTTGTCAGATCGCCTGGAATTTTCAAGCAAAAGTCTTGAGTGTTTCTTTGCTTGGTTTTAACAATACATCTTCTTCTGTTTCTCAATTTCCTCTTTCTGTGCAGGCATTCTCTCTGAGTACTGTATAATCGTGTGTGTGTAATTATCTCAGAGCCTTTTTGCAGCAAGTGTAATCTAATGTACACACACACTCACAGCTGTTACAACCAAAGGAATAACTTGGAAGAGGAGGGGATTGAAGAAGAGCCATGGAGAGGCACATTCACATAATGATTTAAGTATCTGCTGATGTCAGGCACCAGGGTAGACGCTGCTGATATTATGGCAAACGTAGCATGGCCCCTACCCTCAGGATGCTTCTAGTTCAGTGCAAGAGGCAGCTAGGTGAGGAAGTGGTGATGGCCCAGTGCAGTGGCCACCGAGGAGTCCGCCCGGGGGCTGTGCGAGCTTATAGGAGCAGCCTGAGCGAGCAGGGGTGCGGGTGTGCAGAGAAGGCATCCCGGAGGAAAATTCGAGGTTTGAAGAATAAGTGTTCATTTACCCGACACATTTACAGAGCTTCCTCTCTGTACGAGGCACTGTTATAAGCTCTGGTGACCCAGTGGTGAATGAGCAGACATGCTCTGCCTTCTTGAGGTTGCAGTCCTGTGAGATATGACAAACAGCAAACAGGTAAAAAAAAATGATTAAGACAATAATCTCAGAGAGAGAGGAAGGTCTCTGGGAAGGGAACAGCTTGTGCAGAGTCCCGGAAGGGGAGGCCGTGCTGTAGTTCAGCGGACTTTGTCTCTTTTCGGGTGATGTATCACAGGCTCTGACCTGGCCCTGTTTGCGGGTCACCTTCTGAGAGCATCAGCAGTGCAGATGGACTCCTGAGGGTGGGGAGAGGCAGGGACCCAGTTAACGTACAGATGGAACAGTTAACGTACAGATGAATGGAAGATGTTCAGCAAACAGCAGAAGTCCGATTCTAGATTCTCTTAAGCACCTAACTGGGGTCCTGGGACCGGACATCTGATCAGAAGAACCTCTTTAGCGTAGGCCCGCCCATTAATGAACAGTGAGCCTGTTCTGAGCAATCAAGGGGCTGTGAGGTCCAGTGAAAGATGAGAGTGGAATGATCTAACGCTGAAGGTATTAATACATTCAGGAGAACTTTTAGAGGAAGAGGACTGTGATTCCCTCTTTCCTGTAGTGGCATCCGTTCATTTGATGTTGCCTGTTCTGCTTGTCTGTCGCCTCCTTCATGAAGTTTTATTGCTTGAAAGTATTGACACTGGTTTGAATCTTTGCTAGAACAAAAAGAAAAATTGTATTCAGATTTCTATTGTTACAGCTGTTTCTTGGGTGTTATTTTAGAATGGGCAAACTGGCCTAGCCAAGGGTTTCAGCCCTATGATATGGTGATCTCAGATGAAACGAACATTGTTTAACAAATATTTCAGCTTCCTCCCAGAGTGGGCAGCCACAACAAGCAGAGCTCCGGCATGGGGAGATTCCTTCTGCGGTGGGCGGCTGTCACCGCAGAGGAGGCTGGGGCAGTGAGCGCTGCTGTTGGCGTGGGCGGGCACCGAGAGCACAGAGCCCGGCACTGCCCAGAAGGGTTCTGGCCAGAGGGCCACACTCTAGGCAGAGGAGAGGCGGGGAACGGGCCTGAGGACTCAGGGTGGCAGCTCTTCCACCTTTTTGCAGCCACTCGTGTGTTCACCAGCCCTCTCGATCCTCACTCCTCATGGGCAGCAGGCCTGTGTCCCAAATGCCATCTTGTTTCATTTCTGAACTATTAACATACATTTGCAGCAAATGTAATAGCATCTCAGACCTGTGGGTAATACATTGAGAAAGAAAGGAAGACACAGGCAAATCATAGAAAATGCCTTCCTCTAAAGAAACGTGTCTTTAGAAAGAGTGAAACAAACATTCAGAACACTTCTGATCCCTATTCCCAGGAAGGCGTGAGAGGCTGCCATGTGTAGGAAACCAGCGTGTGCAGCCAGGGCCTGCCCGTTTGCAGTGGCTGTCCTCTTCAGCCTAGGCCTCGCTTTGGCTCTTTTCGTTCACCAAGGTGAACATTTCAGGGCCTAGGTTTAAGGAACGCCGCTGCCCTGGAATGCACGGTCTGCTGCATCAGAGAATCGCTGGGCTGTCCCTCCTGGCTTGTCAGTTAGTACCGGGGCTCTAGAAGCCCTGCAGATAAGAAACTTCTCTTTAACTCAGGGTTTCCAAAATTTATTTGATCACAAAATCCAGTTTTTACCTCATACCCACTAGAGATTTTCATCTCAAAGGACAAGGAAATGCTGGTTTTTAGGGTCCTAAGGGAAAAATATTCAGACTTCAAAATTCCACACGCCCCCTGTCTTTCGATCATGAGCTAAGGGAACCAAGGTGTTCTCGTGGACTCAAAAACTCGAAAAGATGCCACTCATCCACCTCCCTTAACACTGGCCTTTCACGTGTGTTCTGCAGGACAGAGCTGGAGGTAAAAGGACGAGAGGAAGTAGAGAGAGGGTGAAGACATGGTTGAGAAATTGAGAAGGACCCAACATTGTGGCCAGCTTTATATATTAAATCTGACCCTGGAACGCATGTTGGTGGGTGGGGTTGGTGAGGCCAGCTCCGACTTCACTCATCCCACCAGCTGTGTGGCAGGCCACAGGCCTGCCTTACCAACTCTGCCCCTGGTCAGTCCGAGTTCCCGAGGGCAGAGGAGAGGAGAAAGTGGCGGCCCCAGGCTGCCTCTGGAGGGCAGTTCCTGCGCCTGGCCCCAGGTGCACTTACCACATGGGAACAGGAAGCCAAAAGAAGAACCCCGCTCTGCTCACCAGCCACCGAGCAGGCAGCACCCAGCAGACAGGGTGGAACTTGTTTGGAGCTTCTGTGGCTCGGCATCCCCGCCCACGGATGAATGGGCCAACAGATGTCGCCTCTCGTCACCAGAAGAGCTGCCCCGCTTTCTTTGGGGAGGAGTAAGAACTTTCCCTCTAACGCTCCCCGAGGACGGAAGGAGTAGGAGTCCCCTTGTCAGCAGACAGAGGCAGGGATTTTCCTCCTCGGGCCTGCAGGGACTTGGGGAGATTCCGGGGTTCCCACCTGGAGCACCAGGTGGGTGGCGTCCTCCATTACACACAAGGGACCGTGTGACAGTCATCAGAAAGGCCACAACGCCGACTGTGCCCCGACACTGAAGGCTTGATGTTGGGTCTCTGTGTCGCTGCCACAGCCCTGCATTCTGATCTGCGTTACCTGTGCTGGGTAACCAGACGGAATGACATCTAGGGTGGCAGGTGCCGAGGGAAGTAGCTAACTCCTAGTTGATGCAACTAAACTTTCCTGGACAGTTACCGAACTCTAAAGACGAGAGAAGGGCGGCTGCCGCAGCCCGTGCGACCTGGCGGCTGCTGCTGAAGGGCTCTGCCGGCCGACACGCGGCCGCGCCCGTCTCTCGGAGGCCTTCTCGTTTCTTCACCGCTGTTTCCTCTTCTGTCTGCTGCTGCAGGCCCTCCTAATCTGTGCTTCATATAATCGAGTCTAATTAAAGTAATGTTGAAGAAAGGTCTCTTGAAAAAAGATTCAGATTAAGAAATAAGATAACTAGACATGACAAAACTAATACACAGAAAGTGAAACTTGTGCTCATAAAGCATCTCCTGGCAAGGAAATATTTCACACTAAATCGTTCACAGTGCATTCGCTTCATGCCCACATTTTACTTATGCCAGGTTCTGCGTCCGCCTGGGGCTCCCGGCCCAGCCTGCGTGTGGCCCCGTCTCCATCCAGGCTCCGCTTCCGCCTGAGTTCAAGCGTGATGGCTTCTTGCCTCAAGAATCATTGGCGGTTTTTTAGTAGGAAATACGATAAAAATTTTGCAGAAAACTGTTCTTTCGGTGCAGGTAACTCAACTAACCAGGATGTCTCCGCCGCACTCCATGCATGTGCTGCAGGAACACGCCTGTTTCTCCATGCATCTGGAACAGCACGTACTTCATGCAACACAGTCCCTGACCACATAAGGAAGTTTACATTTCTCCACCATCTAGGCAGCTCTTGTTGTTAGAAGGAACAGGAACCCTCCTTAACTAGAAAAAAGGAAATTTGTTGGCTTATGTCACCCCAAGGCTGGGCCCAGGGGTTCCTTCAATAGCACGGGACTGTGTCTGTGAAGGGCCACCTTTGTGTTGACGTCACATGTAGACGCGGGGAGCTCCTTATCCCTCCCCTCAGAAGCACTCTTCACTCTGTTCATCTCGTGAGTCCATCCATCCCTGGACTAGTCGCTGTTTCCAGGGGAGGAAGGTACCTGACCGGAAATGCTGGGCCTGGGTCCCTCCCTCAGGACCGGGAGGCCTGCCCAGAGTGAGAGCCTCACCCGGTCTAGGGTGGCGGCGGGGAGGGCGTTCTTACAAACACAAACTGCAGGGCAGGCATGACAATAAGAAACACCCCACATGAATCATGCAGAGACGGCGCTGGTTAGAAGATGGGGGAATGGACTCTCCAGAGGAAGTCGATAAGAGAAAGCCTGGAGGAAGAGCTGGTGGGTGTAGAGATGAAGATAAGAGCCCCAAACTCAGTTGTTTAACTCCCCATAATTCCAGTGTCTTAGTTCTGCTTCACCTTTTCATTAAGTTTGTTTTTTCCTTTACTGAAAATCCTACTTTGATGGAAGTTCTTTTGGAGTCAGTTACCCCTCGCAGCCCCTGGATGAGAGTTGGCCCAGGTAAGCAACCCTGCTTTAAAGATGCGATGGGCACGTGTTATTTTTGGATGCCTTCACTGTATTTGACCTACCCTGAATGCTGTTTTAGGAATTTCTAATATAAAGCATAGACTCTTGTTTGTTCTTATAAAGCTTGTCTTTTCATGTATAATCATAGGCTTATATGAAAGCGTGAAACGAAAAGTTATTTAAATAAAGCTAGGTCTTCACTTTTAAAACCTAATAGAAACAGCCCTGACTGGTGTAGCTCAGTGGATTGAGCACAGGCCTGCGAACCAGAGGATTGCGGTTCAATTCCCAGTCAGGGCATATTCCTGGGTTGCAGACCAGTTTCCTGCAGGGGATGCACGAAAGGCGACCATACATTGGTATTTCTCTCCCTCTCTCCTTTCCCTCTAAAGATAAATAAATAAATAAAATCTTTAATAAAAAATACCTAATAGAAACACATATGGAATACATTTGTCAGTAGAATACTGACTTGTTATTCCGATATTTGAGCCATGGAGAAGTAGACACCTGTCTTCAGGGTGTTTAAAAAAGGAAGTTGTGGAAAGAACGTAAATAAGCTTTGGGAAGCTCCCAAAGGGTCTCTCTGAATATTTTGGTATACCTAGGTATGCACCCCCCAAAAAATAGTTTTGTTTTTTGTGTAGAAGGTAACAATATAAAATTAACTGAAAAGAGTGCTGCATCTGCTACATGGGTGGCATCGTTTCCAGATCAAGTCAGATTGAGGAGGCGTGTGAAGCGTACACACGGAGACGATCAGCTGTCTGGGTCAAGGTGTGCCCTCCGTCCACTTTCGGGACACACAGTAACCAAGCCCTTACTGCGGCTCACGCAGGCAGGACCTGGCAAAGGTCCATGTAAAGCGGGGCAACAGCTGGCCCTACCTCAAGGGTTTTCAACCACCTTTGGGAGTCTGGGGACCCAAGGTTGTAGGATAAGTACAGTATTTTAAATCATAAAAAGATATCTCCAAACTGATATTTTAAAACTAGAATCCAAGAGAAAAGTTCTTGCACTTTCCAGAGCACTAGGATTGGGTGGGCGTTTTTGTGAACTGAGTCCGTCCGGCCCCGGCATTCCCGGCGCACACCCCAGGGTGTGTGGTGAGGGCACTGTTTTACACGTCTGGAGTAAGGCCTTGGGTCCCCTATAGAGCAAATCTCATAGGTTTGAACTATTTCAAAAGGTATGCAAAGGTGCTTTATTGCCCACCGCTTGTTAAACTCTGCATGCGCCCAGCTAGCCAATCCCGTGCTCGTGGGTTGGTGGTAGTTTTTATCGTTGAAATTGGCGGTCACGGCAACGGGAGAGGACATTCAGTCTGGCCTCCTTTTGACAGTGAAGACCGAATGGGCAAGCTGAGGGGGCTTCCCTCAGGTTGTGCGGCAAGGTGAGGAGGAGTTCTGAGACCCAGGTCTGAGACTCATCTTGGCTGCTTGTAGACTGAACTTGTCTTTTTATGTTACCCTGGCTTTTAAAGGCAGCACCCTCCTTGGAAAGAAGAAAAGCATCCTGGCTTCAGGCTGACGTCTGCACTTAACAGGTACAGGCGCTGTTTCCTGGTAGAAACAACTTTTCGAGACAACCAGTCCATTCGGTTGCCTGATATTCTTTATTGTCTAGCTGGCAGAGTCTGCTCCTATCAGTTGTGTTTATGCGAAGTGTTAAAAAACAGAAAGAAAAAAACCCCAACCCCCCACCACTTACCAAATGCCCACAGGGGACAGAACAGTACAGGGTAGGAGCACGAGGTCTGGGGTGGGGCCATAGGCCTCTCACCATGTGACTCGAACATGTTATGTACCTGCTCTGTGCCTCAGTTTACTCGTTTGGAAAAGGGAGATAATAGTGCCTGTATCGGGATGACTGCGAGGATTCGAGAACACACGGGGATGGCACGCAGTTGGTGCCTGTCAGCTCTCGTCACGGTCACCATGGGCCAGGCTCCGGTGGTCAAGTCTCCACGGGACGTGTTTTCCATCCTGATAACATCCTATAAGAATGAGGGCCCCCCCCAACTTGTTCTAAGGGGTTAATGACTTGTCCAAGGCCATTTAGCCAATATGTGGTGAAACAGATTAAAAAAAAACTTTTTCTAGTGCAAAACTTTAAACATACCCAAAAGAAAAAAGAGTTAGGAGCAGTCCCAGTGCTCATCCCTCAGCGTCGGTCCTTAGCACCCCGCCAGCCCTGCGCCTCCTGGCCCCCGCCCCCCACCCCACACCGCTGGGCACTGTCTTCCCCTGCCACTGCATGGAGTGGTGTAAGGCTGATAAGAACCTTTAAAAAACATAGCCACAACCCCGTTATTACACTTAATAAATTAACAGTAACTCATTACTATTATATAATGCCTGTCTTTATGTCTTATGTGGGTGTATCTATTGAGAGTAGAAATTGAGAGATTTTTTTAAACATTACTTACTAATGAATTTTAAAACAATGAAATAAAAATAACAAACCCATTGTATGGTAGCTTAAATATATTTTAAGAAAGTTACATTTTTCAAAAGAAAACATTTATTGAGAAGAGTGGCATTGTGATCCCTTTAACAAGTCTCCTGACTGACTGACAGCTGGATTCTCTGCTTACCATCCGTCTGGGGCCCCGGCTCGTGGCTGTCATGGCCGCAGAACGCCACTGTGCTCATCAGAGGATGAGTGAAAGGGCAAAGAGCTTTTTACTATTAATAGAGAGTCGCCTTGACTTGCACTCTTCCTGGAATGGCTGTGAGCCCGCTGCGTCGTCAACCCTCCGCAGGAGGAAGGCTGGACAGGCCTCTGAGGGGCCACACGTCTGACGTCTTGTTGACATAGATCATTACGCTGTGCATCAGCTTCAAGGCGTGAAGCTGTGCGAGTACAGATTCAAGTCATTTGGGTGCCATGGGTGATCCCCGGGCTGTTATTGATGTGACAGTCTTCAGGTAGGTCCAGATCCCTCGTTTTATGGGTTATTGTAAATCGTTATCCATACCTTCTCTCCCGTTGGTAACGTGCGGCAAAGAATATTGCGTTTTCACTAAGGAGAAATGGATTTTCAGCCAGACTCTCTCTTCCCGCCCTTAGGACCAATTCTGATTCTGCTCTTCACACAAGTGCTCTGAGCACCAAGCCCCAGGACCCCTACGGAGGAGGGGCCCAGTCGGCCTGGCCAGCCCCGTACTCGGGTAAGACGCAGCGGCCATGCTTCCTGCCTGTGCTGTCTGTTAGGGTCGTGCCTGGGGCAGGCACTGGTAGTCTTCAGAGAAGAAGCTGGCGGGCAGAGGTGTGTGTGCTCATGGGAAATGGGAATGGAGCTTAAGAGGTCACATACTTTGTTCCTGCCTCTCCTTTGGCAGGTGCTCCCTCCTTGGCATCTCTCGTCTCTACGGTTGCCTTTCTTCCCCACTGTACACATTATATTCATGTGGACTCATCATAGTTTCGTAACTGGTCTCATTTCCAGTCCCATATACCTCTAATCCAATTTTATGTGCGTTTTCTGAAGGCCCTGTCTTCTCATTTAAGATCTGAGCAAACTGAGAAATAAAATCAGAAGTGACAGATGGAGCCACGTATCATCTTTATTGATGACAAGTGGGCATGGCTTCTCTCTGTGGGTCCATGGCTGTTGTACCTGAACCCCAGAATGAGGTCAGCTGCCCTGTAGCCCTCTCCCAGGGCAGTGACCATGAGAGGGCTGAGGGCAGACAGAAGGGCAGGGCTGAGCAGAGCAGGCATGCCCTGAGAAGGAGAGAGGCTGGCCTCGGGCTGGGCATCGCCGGCTCCGCAGTGCCCCATTTTGCCGGGTAGAGCATTGTCCCACCTCCCTTGGGCCCGAGTAAAGGGGAGCAGAGAGCCAGGAGCGACCGAGACTGGGAAAAGCCATCTGCTTCCAGAGTGAGCTCAGATCTGATCACACTGGCCTTCTGCTTACAGTCCTCAGTCCTACCTCCACCCGAGAAGAGAGCCCTCACCTCTTCATCTGCAATGACGGGAGCGCCAGGCCCTGGCCCTCACCCCCCTCCCCCTCCTCACTAAACAAGGCAGCCATGGGAACCAGGTTGGGTTCCATTCCTATTTCCTCCTGTTCCCATCTCTTCCTTTCCTAACCCTCTCCTGGCTTCCTGCTGAACACCTCAGCTTTGGCGCCATGTCTGTGGAGCCATCCCCGACCTTCCTGTCTTTGCCAGCCCAGAACTACCCACGTCCTTCTTGGCACCTATGTCACTTGTGACTGCCTTTCTCATGGTTGTGCTTCACTCCTGTGCTCAGGGAAGATTTCTTGCTGTCAGCACCTTCCTGGGCTTGTCCCGGGGAGGCCTCTGTGGTGGGGCAGTTTGCGGAGGCTATACAATGTCCATGTGTGCAGAGCCTGCACTGGCCTTGAACCTGCACCTGCAACGGGGCCTGCTCACTAAGTCCGAGCCTGCCTTTTGGGGCTTCGTAACCCATAGGAACAATGGTTTTGGTTTATCCCTTCTGACTGCCAGTCAGTATTCCAGGTTGACGCTTGTCCACAAACAGGAAGGACTTATGTGTTTGTTCTTGGAACAGGTGAATAAATCTTCAGACCAGATAACACCAGCTTTTCTGGTGTCTTTACTTTTTAGACAACTTAATGCCTAAATAGTCTATTCCTGCCAAGGCAAATGCACCTGCTCTTACTTTCTTGCACATAGTAGGGATAGACTTTAATAACAATTGTTGCTATATTTGTCCCCTTGGTGCAATTCAGAGATGACCACATTTGCCTGGATAGTTGTTTGCTTGTAAAGGGTGAGGCCTTTTAGAACCGGTTGAGGCCATCTAGTCGTGTGTTCCCGCATGGGGATGTGAGAGTAAAGGTGGCAGTTCCATTGGAATTGAGTGTGGGTTAGAGACCCAGGCTCCCTGGGCAGGTGGGGTCGTTTAGCTCAAACTGGGTAGAGATGGGAAGCTATAAACAAAGCCTGGGAGAAGCAGAGTCTGTGATTGGTGGGCGCCGTGACCACAGTAAGATCTTAGTCTCCTTGGAGTGGGAGCAAACCAGGCGGATTGGTCTGTGCCCCGAATGGAGAGCTGCATTTCTGCCTCTGCCGCTCCTTCTGGGTGGAGTTCGCTCCAACAAGGGCTAAAGGCCTAGAGAGAACAAGGAAATCATAGCCAACTTAAGTAAGGAGTTCTTAAGGCTTGCAGACAAAGAGAAAAGAAAGTAACTAAAGAAAGTGATTGAGTTAAGTATTTATGTTAAGAGTGATGTAACCTTCGGAGGGAAGAGGTGAGAAATGACGGAAGGTGTAAGTGAGGCTGAAGAAGAAAGACAGGAGAATGTAAAGATTGACCCCAGCAGAGAGGCAAAGCAGGGAGAGAAAGACATCCTAGAGTGGAGTTCCCGGGTCTACTGGAGAATCGTGGTGGGCACTTCTTGCCACCTCGGCAGCTGAATGTTTGACGGCCGTTCGGCTGTGGAAGGCGGTCGGCCCTCCAACCTGACGGCGAGGCTGCTTCTGTGCACTTGGAAGTACTGCAGAACCCAGAAACACACCCAAATATGGGCGTGTTTACATGAGAAAGCCAGTGTGTTTAAAATATTATTCAAGTCTCCAAGGATGGGGATTATTTCTGGAGAATTATATTTGCTGGTGGGAGCTATTTTAAATAGTTTCATGCATTTCCCCCTGTAATTCATTAAAGGTTTTCATTTTCTTTTCCTTTTGGATTTTAAAAATATCAACCAGCTTTGCAAAAAGGTATTTCTTATTATAGGACCAACCAAATAAAGATTAAACAAGCGATGGGAAAATGTAATTGGAGCCCAGAGTGGGGCTCTGTCGCAGAAGCGGCACTCACTGCCCCGTCCCTGGGAACCTTTCCTGAGCCCGAAGGGGTGGCATCAGTGAACGTCCTCACTGGCTTTTGTTGTTGTTATGAGTGGATGGTGAAAGAGCATCGCTCAGAGCTGAACTGCATGAGCAACCAATTTGTGTCCATTCGTGAGCAGGAGTTTGCGTCCAAGAACACAGAGCCATTATTCTGATACAGGAGTAGCTGTTCTCATAAAGGCTATTGACTTGCGTGGCAGTTATGCATAAGTGATAAGCAGTTGATATAAATGGCAGAAGTGAACTTTTATACAACCAAATGAGATTTTTATTATTTCTTCTTGTTTGATTATCCAGAATCCATAAAAAGAAATGTTAATCCTTCCCTGGCAGCCCGTGCAGCTTAATTATCATCTCACACATATACAGAGACTATAAGGGCTCTCTGTGGCACTTTCCTGTCCCAAAGCCTAGGACTGTCCCTTAACTCTTCTCTGCTCCTGGCCAGCCTGTGACAGGGCTGGGGGTGCTTCTCATCCTTCCAGAGAGCAGCCTTCGAGCTGAGGGCTGAAGAGAGCAGGATGCTTGTCTTTTCTGCACCCCAAGCTCTGGAAGCTGAGCCCGGCTCATCTTGGGGACCACAGCCCTGAGCTGCTGCTCCGGGATAGGCAGAGGCCCAGATGTCCTTGCAACAGGCAGTGCACTCTGACCTGCATAGTTAAGGAAAAGTTCTGAAATGCAGATAAACCTGGAATAAGTGAGCCCGTCCACAACACCGGAGGGAGAGGGGATAGGCACTCATATCCCAGGCCATAAAGAGGGGAAAAAGGTGTCACCTAGATGGCAGGAGGGCCCAGAATGAGGAGGCTTCTTAAAGGGCCCACTCTGGTTAGATGATCCGCCTGTTGCTGCCCCTCCAGTCATTGAGTCCAGACTGAGTGAGAAGTTGGATCTGTGGGCCTGGGAGTGGGGGGAGGAAGCGCGGACTCGGATGCACTGAGGCCACGCATGAGGTTTTTGGAACACAGGTACAGCCTTCCATCCCCTGTGGGGCTGGTGCAAGTGAGTGTCCTCTTCCCAGAGACCCCGTCACAACTTGTTCCTTTTTATTTGTAACCCTCTGTTTATAGTTGTGTCCTATGATAAAAAACCCTGGCTCGCATCTCTTGGTCGTATGGTAGCTTGCTGAGGGCGGATCAGGTATTGCCACTACCATCTCTCTGGTCACAAAACTCAAAGCCTGGGTGTTGGCTTCTCCCCCACACTCTGTCACTTGGCCACATCTAGCATTTAGTGTAGGAACCTCATAGATGTTGTGGGAACGATTGATAAGTATTTATTTTAGGTCTTTCTAGACTAATCAGGTTGCTTACAGATTAAGCTTACCCAGAAACATATCTAACCTTTAAGCAAGCTTATGTTCAAAGGCTGAGAACTTAAAATTTTCTCCTGATGTTATACTGAAAACCCATTTGGTGTATTTGCTGCCTCCAAGGAGAATAATAACCTTACATTCTTGGCACAAGTCTTTGGTTTCAACCTAGAGTAGTTGGATGGACTGTCCTTGTCATTAGTAGTATATTTTTATGGAATCAAAAGTACATTATTCACCCAGAATTTATTCAAAGTCAAATTATTAAATTTTTGTGAAAAGCTATTACCACATACTATTTAAATTGACTGAGATTCCAGATAAATTATTTTTTAAAAATAATACGATTCTTTGTAAGAAATACATATAAATCAACATACAGTTGTTGATTTATATGTAACATCCCGTTCCACACATCCCATTCATCTCTCTGGGCCCCCACGGTAAGTGGGAAGCAGCGAGGTGGGCTCAGAGGCACCTCCCTGTCCCCAGGAGGGGAAAGGAGGGGGTCCGATCCATACTTCTTTACTTTGTAAGCTGAAGTGAGGTTCTCAGACTTTGTAAATTGTTTTTCTTTCAGGACAGAGGCAGTAAAACAATTTAAGAATGAGATCGGGGTTTTAAAGGAGGAGAAAGGCGGATGGGAACCAACTTTAGACTTGAACTGGCTGTATCTATCTAAATTTTAGCATAAATGTTAATAGGCCTTAGATGAACATCCATCAGTATATCAGAATTTGTTGGAATTTTCAAAATTCTGTTTTACATCAGAGAGAGTGACTAATTCATGAATAAATAAGATGCAAGCACGGTATAAAAGTGTTTTCTTCCCTCCCACCAGGTTTCTGTGACGGTGAGCATGCCGGACGGGGGGAAGGTAGGGATGTATCTGCCCCTGTGTGCCTGGACCCACTGATACTCGTGTTTCAGAACTTTTCTGAATGCCGACCACTGCCCATTGGTTTGGTTTTCTGAGACGCTGGATAACATTAGGGCTGCCCAGGACCACAGCCACGAGAAAGGAAATGGACAGTTAGGTTACAGGGGCCCCTCGTCACCTGAGCCCCCAGAGTCCCAGGGTTGTGCGGGGAAGCAAAAGCTGTCATCACGTAAAAATACTGATGAATCGTTCGCCGAAACCCTGAGGTGTTCCAGCACCCCTCCCTCCTCAGCTGCCTGTCCTTGCCCGTTTAGAAAGGTTTGAGAGTCGGTGATTGACAGGTACAAATAAGCAAGGGAAGAAAATGTAAATTGTCGGCGAGATGAAATGGCAGATGTTGCAGAAGATACTGAGTTTTAGGCCGATCAGCACGATGTTGGAGATCCACTGAAACGACGCTCAGAGCCGCTGACAGATGAGAGTCTGGGCAGTTCGCTTGTTCACTCAGCACTGGGCGCTGTGTTCTGCTCCCTAAATCTTAATGATATGAAATTTGGTTTTTACAGTCGGAAAGTGGAGAACTCAGTTAGGTCTGTGTGTCGCAGAGGTAAGCACCTCGCACCAGAGGCACAAGTCTGACCTCAACCTCAACATCCGCTGGGACAGAAACCAGCAGTTTGCTTCGAGCTTCTTCGCATTCCCCCAGTGAGCCCTCTGAGGAAATCCCAACTCGGATAGGAGAAGGGGCCGAGAACAATGAACTTCTCTAAGGAAACAGTCCTCTCCAGGGCCTCGGCGTCTGCCCCAACCTTATTCCTGCAGCCGAGCTCTTAGGAGAAGTGGCCTTGAGTCATGAAGCCACCTCACCCAGTCCTTGAAACTTTTCCTGTCATCCATCAGTGCCTCAGAGCAGTTGTTTGTTCTCGAGAAGCTTGTTGTCTGGCTTCACACAGGGTCTCGAGCCTGTGGCTCCTGCCTCCAGGTTGAGAGTCGGCTGTGGAGCCGCAGTGCACCTGGCACCGCCCTCAGCGCTCCCAGCAAAGCCAGGAGAAGAAAACCAAACAAGGATGTTGGCAACATCAGTTCTTCAGAGTGCTTGGGCTGTCACCGTTAAGAGAGGGCCCCGGGAACTTGGGTGAAGCCTGGCAGGTGGCAGGGGAGGACAGCTGCCAGCACCGTGGGAGGGGTGCGCTGTGCGGTCGTCACTGCGGCGGCTCCGGCCATCGGGGACGCGGGGCCTCCCTCACCCTGAGCCCCTTCCAACCGTCCCCTGGTGCGGTCCTGACCTGAGTTTTACTACATATAAGTTAAGCTTATTTTAGAGTTTTCCTTCCCACTTTTCAAACCTTTTTCTCACGATTCCCTCTGAAACTGTGGACCCTGTTTCTGGGGTCCGTTACCCTTGGGTGTGTGTGTGGGGCTACGGCATTTAGTCATGACGGTCAAGCCAGAGCTTCCATGGTTGCCGAAACCTAGCTGTGCGCATGGTTCTGAGCCAGTGTCTCCAGCAGAGAACCCCCTTCCTGGCAGCAGGGCCCTAACTCCTGAGGGCTGGTCCTTGTCTTCTGGTCTCTCTCTGAGAACAGCCCTATGTAGTTGGGAAAGAATAATTTTTAATGAAGATATTTGGTTTGGCCCAAGGTGGGCCGGCTGCCATCTAATGCAGTGACTGTGCTTCCTCCCCCCGCCCCCTCCAGTGGTGCCTTTCCCGGGCCCGGGCCAGGGCCTGCTGAAAGAAGAGAACCTGCTGACCGTTCCCAAGCCGCTGCCCAAACAACTGTGGGAGACCAAGGAGGTGGGTGAGCAGGACTCAGCCGTGTTCATTGTCCCCGAATATTTGCACCTCAGAGGTTGTAAAATCCCACAAAGGGGAAAATGAGGAATTGGGGGGAAGTAAGAGGATTTGTCTGGGGTCAAAGGTAGGAAGAATACACTAGGGAGTGGAGGTTCAAAGAAAAATTGCCGCATTTTGCATTTCGTTGATGAGTTAGCACAGTGATGGGTTGGCTTTCTAATTTGCATATGAACTGACTCATTCAGAAAAACCTATCCGTGTCCCCCCTGCCCACTGTCTCATTCATATTACTGAAAGCGGTGAGCCCTGGCTACTGGCCATAGGCAGACTTTTCTGTTTTGTAGCCAACACCATCTACCAGTCACCAGCATCCATCCAGAATTGTCAGTTCACCCTTTTTTATTTTATTTATTTATTTTTAGAGCAGGGATGGGAGGAAGAAAGAGAGGGAGAGAAGCAGCAATGTGTGGTGCCTCTCATGCACCCCCAACTGGGGACCCAGCCCGCAACCCAGGCAGGAGCCCTGACAGAGAATCAACACTGCCACCCTTTGGTTCACAGACTGGCTGTCAACCCACTGAGCCACACCAGCCAGGGAGAGGGGCCCCTTTTTTAGATCCAGAACATTTGACCCGAGTCCTCAGGGAGTCAGGACACAAGGCATCTGTGTTATGATTTCTACAGCCTTTGGGCATTTGTACCTCCCCGTGTGCTGGTGACCCCCGCCACGCTCCTGCTCCCACGGGGCAGAGGGAGGTCCCGGGGCCCTTGACCAGCCCCTCGCCCCATGGGGGAGCCGGGTGGCTCTGAGAGAAGCGGTTGCCCCAGCCCCAGGGATGCACTTGCTCCTGCTGCCTCTGCGCCCAACCACCCCGCCCGTCTGGGCTCCCCTGTTCGCTTTCTTGTGCCACGTCCACGGGGGTCCTCTTAAGCATTCGAGTGGGCTTGGAAGGTCTTCTGTAAAAGCAAGAGGTACTTGACGTGTCATCATTTAGGGGAAGAGGGAGATATGATTAAAGTTCATGTCCTGGACCCTGGGATAAGGAGCCCCCCTTGGTCTTTTCAGCTGTGGAGACACAGTCGCCTTGGTGGCTTTCTCAGAGGGCAGTGGTGTCTTCTTTAGCAGAGGGGCAGCGGCACCCGCCTTCCCCTGGGCCCCGGGGCTTTCTCTCTGGGGAGGGGCCGTCCTCTCCCTTCATTCTGAAGGATGGGCAGCCCTCCGTAAGGCATTTCTGGGAGAAGACTTGTGCCCACGGCTCATTCATGTTTTTGGACACCCTGTGTGTCGTCTGAGCCTCTCTTGCCGTTCCGGATCCAGGGCCTCCACAGTAAACAAGCAAACCCGAACCCCTGCCCCGCACCCCACCCCCGGCCTCAGCTTATTTTCTAGTTGAAATATTTCTTTTCTTCTGATATTAATTTCTTTTTTCATGCTGGGTTTTTTTTTTTTTTGTATTCTTCTTTTCCTTTTGGGCCAATTGGTAAAGGGATGTTGATTTAAATGTAAAATATTGGCCTTTTTGAAGGAAATAATATTCATCTAGAAGATAAGTTAGTAAAGCATCAACTTAAGAAAATGTATTAATGTTGTGCCTGGAAAAGTCTAGTCAAAGTGTGAAGGGCTGCGGGGGCGGGGGGGGGAGCGGGACACACCGCTTCCTGCCTCTCGCACGGACTGGGCCTGAGACACTTACACAGACACTTGTAAACACTTGAGTTTGGCTTTGCAGTGAGTGACCCCAGCTTTGTGTCTCTCCCCAGCTTCAGTCCCTGTCCGGGCGCCCCCGATCCTGTGATGTTCCAGGTGGCAAGTAAGTGACGTTCTTTCTGTTCATGGCTCAGGGACTGTCCTGGACGTCTTCCCAAAAGGAAGGTCTCAGTACTTTGTCACAGAACTCTGAGAAACCTCACTCATTCTGTATCAGTTGCAAGTCAATTGAATTTTTATGGAAACTATAGCTTTCTTTTGGTACTCGTGTTTCATTTATTAAAAGTAGTTACATTATATAACTGCGATAACAAATAAAATTGCCATAAATGTGTGTGAGAATAACACAGCTGACTCTTGGTAAGCACACGACTTGAGGCGGAAGCCCCCAGGCGTGGAGAGGAGCCCACCCGCCTCCCACTGTGGGCCCCTGGCACCTCGGTGCCCTGGGAGTCAGTTGAGTTTCTGCGAAGGCGCCTAGTGTCTCAGAACCGCGCACGTAAAAGGGATAAGTTATGTGTGACGTGCGTTTTACCACTATTTTAAAAATTAATGGAAGATAAATAGGAAAATTTATGATATGAAAAGTTTCTATGAAACCATGAATGAACTTTTGTATTTAGTAGTATAGAATTTCACTCCCTAAAAGAATCGAGACGCCTTACAAAAATACGTGCAGTACAAAAAGATCCACGGAGAGGTTTGTGAGGAAATTAGAGCCGGGAAGAGCGGGAGCACGGACAGGTGCCGGGGGCACCGGCCAGTGAGGCCAGTTAGACGGCGTGGACAGGTGGTCACCGGGGGTGGGGGGCACATGCGCTGCACAGGTCTTCACAGAGGACAGAACCCTGGGGACTCGGTGGCAGTGTCCCTGGAGAGCACTGAGGGGCTGCACGAGGCTGCGCCATGGCCTGGGGTCAAACCAGCTCAGAAACAGCCCATCTTCCCGGGGCCAAAATAGTGCGGTTTGAAGACGGGACCCTTGTCTGATCTAGCAGAGCACGAGCGCCCATTCTCGAGGGGCTGGGGATGAACGCAGTCTGCCTCGGGCGGGCCTTCGTGTTCTCTCCTCCAGCAGGGCTTTCCCTGAGGTTTCAGGAGCACCGCGTTCGGGGCTCTCCCTGTGGAGCACCTGGGGTGCCGACTGCTCTGTGGCTGGTCACGTATAAACCTGTGGGCAGCGTCCGTAACAGCCCCCTGAGCTGAGAGGAGGGTTGGCCTTCTCTTCAGAAAGTTGCAGGACAGCAGTGCAGTAGTATTTCGTCTGGAGTCCCCCTTCCTGCTTGTCCAGCCCTGGCTTGGCACCCACCCCCACTGTTCCAGAAGAACTGTCCTCAAGAAACACTGCTGTGACGTGTCTTTCTATGTGACAGAAACACGGTGTCTGAAACAGAATTTGTCACGTTACCCATACCACTCAGCCCTATCCCCCGTCTGCTCTTACTCCTCAGGGTCCCTGTCTCAGTGGGTGGCTCCATCCGTCCCCCAGGCAGACAGTCGGGGCTCACTCTTGAGTACTTCCTTGAGTACCTCTCGAGTCCATCCCGTCTCACCATCACCGTGATCCATTGTGTCTTGTCTGACTGGTCAGCGGCATCATGACTCGCCTCTCTGCCTCCGGGCTCTGCTTCCTGCCCCAGCCTCCACTCCCGCCACCTGCAGACCATATTGTCCTAAGAACGAGTGAGGGTCTTTGCGTTCAGCTGTCCACTGGCTTCTCGCCCTCAGCCCGTCAGTGCCAGCCTCACCTGCTCTGTGCCTGCTTCTCCAGGGCCCTCTCCTTTCACCACCTACCTCTCTTAAACTCGACCTTCCTGCGCTAAGTTTCTAGGACACTGTGACTGTGGTGTCACGCTTTTCTGCTTTGCCTAAGTTCTGCCTGCTATGATTTTCCTGCATAAATCATCTGAATTCTTTAGCCTCCAAACTCAACTCAGGTGGAATTCCAGGAAGCCCCTCCAGCCTGCTGGGTACCGTCTCCGCGCGTAGACGGCCAGGCGGTGTCAGTGCACGGCCCAGTTGTGCTATATGGCAAGTTGTTTTCTCTTCAGCACTGTCTCCCAGCTTTGTCCGAGTCTCTCTCAGCCCCAGCACCAGTGGCTGGTTCCTAGGATGTGCTCTACTGATCCTGCTGGTGAATGAAGCGTCCTCAATTGAATTCATTCCCCTCTGCCTCTTCCTGAACCACAGCCATAGCTTCTAACTGGTCCTCCCTGCTGTCTTTCTGCTCCCTTAAGCCGTCCTCCACACCACAGTGGAAAACCCAGATCTTGGAGGGTATTTGGTTGATAGGGAGATACTTTATTTTAATTTTTTTGTAGGAATAGTAATTTAGAAATTCAGCAAACAGAACCCTGTAAATTATACACCAGTGCCTTGCTTGTTTTATGGTGCCTTCTGATTTTTAAAGTACTTTTGCATTAGTGTTCTCATCTGGTCTTGGAAAATATTCCCCTAATGTGGACATGGTCGGCATCCTCAGTCCAACCTAACAGGCGAGGAGATGGCACTTCAGAGAGGTGAAGCCGGGGACGCAAGTTCTTGGGAGAGGAAGAGGCAGAGCCTTGTGTGAAGGCTGGGAGCCTTGATGGCCACCGCTTTCATTGGCAAGGAAACATCTCGGATGTGTCCTATTCCCCCAGGCCTAATGGTTTCAAAAAGTAATACTTAACTCTTCTTTTTCAGCGCTTTCCCACACAACAATCAAAACATGGGCCTCACACCCTTTCTGGGGACCCTGAACACCGGAGGGTCGCTGCCGGATCTGACCAACCTCCACTACTCGGGGCCCCAGCCGGCCTCCCTGGACCCCGGCGACCACCTCTTCGGGGGCATGAGCATGGGGAACAGTGTGGGCAACCTTCCTGCTGCTATGACTCACCTGGGCATAAGACACCCTTCTGGTAAGTGTCCCCTGCCCGTGTTTGCTGGAGGCTTCATTGTAGGTGTGGCCCCTCTCAAGGTGGCCTGTTGGTGGATCATGGAGTAAGAGTGACTGCATCCGAGGTAGATGTACCAACTTGCCTCTTCTTGCAGCTCTTGGCTCTGCTAAGCCTGCCTTTTTATCATCTTTATCAGCCCGAGTGTCCCAGGGACTTGGAAAATGAGATTTGAGAGTCAGGAAGTAAGTGTCCATTGTGCTCCGTGCTGGCCAAGCTGTCGTTAGTGTCTCTCTAGACCAACGTGCGACGGTGTTTAGTAGTTACAGCTGTCTGTCTAGGTCCCTCCAACTGCCCATTGGGTTTCACAAGGGAGCATTTTGAATGTTAGAAAATTTAGAGTGAATACAATGACAGTATTTATACTTAATAGCTATGTGTATTAAATAGAAATTGACCACAGTTCAAAATCATGAACTTTTCAGAAGTGCTAGACGATGTGGCATGTAGCTGTATGAAATGCTACCCGTCATGTGACTTGGGCGTTACTGTATGAGTTCGAGCGTCTCCAGCTCAGACCCCGGATGACTACATTTGCTCGAACCCTGGCACATGCCCCTGTCAGTGTGGGGGGCAGGCGTCACTCCTCCCCCGCCCCACCAGAGGCTCGCTACGGCCCCGCTTCGGGGTCCCGAGCCTTGCGCGGTGGACCTCTGGAAGGTCCTTGGGGGTGGTCTGTCTGTGGGGAAAGTGCTTGCTGGTTTCCGCCCGGGCTTCAGCGTGACTTGTCTCCGTAAGTCAGAGCTCACCACTCAGATGGCAGGGGCCTCCTTCAGGGTGGTCACCTGCAAGGTTCCCTGATGGTTTGCAGCAGGATTTTAGGTCTCAAGAGTTTATTTCAGCGACCACATTATTTTTGGTTCTTGTGGTCATTTTTTATTCTGCTGCTTCACTTATGTGACTCCGGTCAATTCTCTGTGACCAGAGACATCCGAGGTCCCATAGGTCCAGGGACATCGGCACTTGGCCCCCTTGGGTCTCGGGGAAGCTGCCACTCTCCAGTACAGCCTGCAGCATGCGCTTTAGCTGCAAACCCTGAGTTTAGTCATCGGCTGTCATTTTCCTCAGACAAGCATTATTTTTCCAGAACATGTCAGAACCAGTGTCGAGTTTTTCTGGTTCCTATGCATGGGGCTTAAAATGCATAGTACATACAGTTGTCTCAGTGAAAAGACACGAGAGTGGCAGAGGGTTCGGGCTGGGTGCCTGGGCCAGAGGCGTCCCGGGCCTCTGAACGGAGCTGAGCGCGCAGCCCCAGGTTCTCTCCCAGGGCTGGAGGGTAGCACACTGCCCACTGGCCTCTGTTACCCCTGCTCACCTGGCCCTGCCCTCCCAGCGTCCTGTACGCGGCACCTTCCTCTCGAGAAAACCAGTCTCCTCTTGAGGGTGCCCTTTTCCCACCATTGGCCTGTGTGGTGCATGTTTAGTAGGAGTTTCCCAGGAGCTCCTTCACATACAGAGTTGTCGTCCACCATAGGAAGATATGCGTTCTTCAGTCTTTGGAAAACAAACAATTTGGTCTGAGATTAGGATCAGTAACTTGTGGACCTGCTGTCTTCCAGGTCTCCAGAGTTCCCGGAGTAACCCTTCCATCCAGGCCACGCTCAATAAGACAGCGCTTTCCTCTTCCATGAACAGCCACCCACAGACATCTGCTCCCAACACCTCTGCTCTGCAGCCTTCACTCCGTCTCTTTTCCCTCAGCAACCCGTCTCTTTCCACCACAAACCTGAGTGTCCCTGCTCGGCGCCGACAGCCGCCCGTCAGCCCTCTCACGCTTTCTCCTGGCCCAGAAGCACATCAGGGTTTCGGCAGACAGCTCTCTTCGACCAGCCCACTGAACCCGTATCCTGCCTCGCAGGTAAAAACTACTACAGTGGAACAGACCGGAGAGTTTAGGAATTGCTTTCCTTCTCTGTGTGATTTTGGGTTGTGTACATGGCACCAAGCACGTTATCCGTGAGGTCACTTGCCTGAGAAATCAGAGTGTGGAATTGTGACTCATTCAGAGCGCACCGATGGTTTTCCAAGAGCGGACTTGAGCTGATTGTGCCTCAGCAGACACCACACGGTTTGCAGTTACTGTACCGCTCGAAGTCGGGGTTCGGGCCAAGGGTAAGGGGTAGAGGACACCATGCAGATGTGTCTACCTTAGCTACGGGAAACCAGGCTGGGATTTTAAAATCGGTACGGAAAATCGGGAATCGGCCCTACGAGTAATTTAAACCATAAGGAAAAGCCACAGAGGACATTTAATATATTCCTGAAGCTCTGACATGAGACCTCTTTCCTGACTATGACCAGATATTTGGGAGACGATGCTTTTATTGTTCATGAAATAGTAGGTGTAATGAGGATCATGTCACTATGAAAGAACCGGAAAAAGTCAGTTTAGAGAGAGGCCGCAGTCCCAGGGCTCATACAGAAGTTCAGGGGTTGAAACACCACATTTTGACTTGCTGACTTTGTTATTATTCTAAGCTGTTGGGGTGGTTCTCCTTACCAAAGTCATCAATGAATATATTTTTAATCTGTTCGTCACTCCCTAGATACATTAGAACATCATTTACTAACCACTTCTCCATGAATGAGTAATGACAGCCGGGAGGAGCGGACAGAGCACAGTGGAGGGATTGGCAGGTCCAGTTATGAGGTCATTCTTCACCAGTTACTGGCCGCGGGATCTTGATTACATGAGTAATACTTTTCGGGAGAGGACAAGAGGGTATTTCGTAATTGTCTTTTTAATGGTCGTTTTTATGATATTAATTTTATTTTGCAAAATTATATGAGTCTTGGCCATTGTGGCTCAGTAGATTGGAGTGTCATCCCGTAGACTTAAAGTGTGTGGGTTCGATTCCCTGTCAGCACACATACCCCAGTTGTGGGTTCGGTGCATGGTCGGGCCACATGTGAGAAGGCAACAGATTGATGTTTCTCTCTCACATCAGTGTTTTTCTCTCTCCCGCCACCTTTCTCTTTCTCTAAATGCGGTGAAAAAATGTCCTTGCGTGAGGATAAAAAAATTATTTGATAGGTTTTAAAAATATATTACTTGGGCCCTGCCTGGCGTAGCTCAGTGGATTGAGGGCAGGCCTGTGAACCAAAAGATCGCGGTTTGATTCCCAGTCAGGGCACATGCCTGGGTTGCAGGCCAGTTCCCAGCAGGGGACCCATGAGAAGCAACCGTATGCTGATATTTCTCTCCCTCTCTCCTTCCCTTCCCTTCTAAAAGATTTAAAAAAAAAACCTTAAAAAAATATATTACTTGGGCTTCCTAGATACATTTTAAGGAGACTGTATGGATAGAGAACATCCTTTTTCAGGGGTTTCCATTTTTTAATTTGCTTTCTGTGTAGATTTTTTAAAAAATCCATGTGCATGCTAATGAAGAAGTCAACAGTTCTAAAGGACGTGTTCTGAAGGACGTGTTCCGAAGTCCGAGTTGCTTCCCCACCCATTCATATTTCTTACTCCCTAGCGGCGACTGCCTGCAACCATCCTAGCTGATCACTGTGGTAGAATCATGTTGTTCTCATGCTCGCTTTGTTCTGCATTCTTAGTGGTAGTTTTTTTCTAATGACGCCCTACCATGGAAGAGTAGCGTTTGGCTCTTTCGGCTCTCCAATGCTCCCCCACACATACATCCATATTTCCTCCTCCGCCTCCTCATTCTTCACAGTGTGATTTATTACGGTTTTGTTTAGAATAGCGCTCAGTGTTTAATGTTTTCGTAGTTAGAATAATGTAGTCAGAGTTTAACCATATAGTGTACTATGAACTAACAAAAGGAACATTTTTTCTCCTTCTGGGAGTTAATAAATGTCTTACTCTGTTAGTCTGGTTTTCTGTCTGTATTACGGATTCAATCGCAAACTCCCAGAACTGAGTCGATCTTTTCTCGGAGCAGCTAACGTGGCGAGATTCAAATGTGTCCTTATTCTGCCCAGCATGTCATTAACAATTGCCTAAATATAGAATACTAAATTCAAAATAATTTTCTCTTGAAATGTTGACAGTATTAATCCCTTGCCCTCTTAGTTTCTAGAGCTGCTATTGAGAAACTCAGTTTCATTCTGATTCTTAATTCTATGAATGAAATCTTTTCTTCCCTCCTCTAGAAGTGTATAGGATCCTCTTTCTATCCCCAATTTTCTGAAACTTCAGGATAATGTGGCTTGACATGAGTCTGGGTATTTGGTGGCTTTCTTCAATCCGGAAATTCCTGTCCTTCATTTCTGGGAAGTTTTCTTTGATTATTTCTGTCACTCTTTCTTTCCCTGAACGCCGAGTTGGGAAAGGAAGGCGGAGCGCTGAAGTCCCACTGTGTGCCGCCATCGCCAGCAGCACGGCTCCACACCGCTGGGGTCAGGTGTGCCCTGTGCAGAGACCCTGCGCTGCCTCGTTCTCTTTGGAACGAGCCCCCCAGGCCCCCGCAGGCCGGGGCCCAGAAGCTAACTGCTTTTCACCCAAACTTTGGCAAGACCCTTCCCTCCTCGCCTCTGTCTTCGCCCGCTGCTGCCGGCCGTGCGCTTGGCCTTCTCGGCTCAGCCACGCCAGGCACTTCCCGTCCATCTGCTTTTCGTTTCCCAGGTTTTGTTGCCTGCCATTTCCTTCTCTCCTGTTGTTCTCGTCCTCGTGTTCTTTATTGTTTTGTTGTTGCTGTGTTAGTGTTCTACGAACGTTTACTGTTGCCTCATGTTGTCGTGTTTTTAGTAGAATTTTGGGAGACCATAGAGCTGAATGCTTTTTTCAATCTTCTATCTTTAACCAGAAATTATGTCTTTAGAAATTTAAAAAAAAAAAAGGTTCTTAACTTACAAATCTGAGAAGAAACTGCTAAATTGGCTGGGTTGTTTTTGTTGTTTTGTTTTTTGGGACAATAGAAATTGTCGGGGAATGGGAGACACTTTGCAGGGAGGGGAGATTTGAGATGTACTTTGAAGAAGCAGAAATCAATAGGCTTCTCAGAGCACAGCACAGAACGCCTTGGTGAAGACGAGCTCCTAATCTTAAAGGACTTACTACCAGAAACTCAAAAACTAAGCTAATTAGTGACTCTTTTTCAGATGGTGCCCTCCGATCGAAGCCCACTTTCCTTCCTGCCGATGGAAACGCAAACTCAAAGGCCCCCGCCGCCGCCTTACCCCTCGTCCCAGCAGCTCCCCCAGCCTCTCCTGCAGCAGCCCTGCATCCAAGAGCCCCCTGCCCAGCAGCCGCAGGCAGCCTCATCGCTGCCGCAGCCAGATTTCCAGCTCCTCCCGGACCAGGTGCGTCCCTGCAGGCGCGCTGGTGTGGAGGGAGTGCCTGCTTTGCCTCCAGTTCCAAACTAAATGATCCCCTCCTTATTCCCTGAAGGGCTCCACTTTGACCAACTTCTTCCCAGATGTGAGCTTTGACCAACAGTCCATGAGACCAGGCCCTGCCTTTACTCAGCAGGTAAGTGACTGCCCCCCGAGGGCCCGCCCCTCTCAGAGCAGGAGCCGGTCAGTGTGTGGGGCCCACAGCAAGCAGCCTAGGCACTGTCCAGCTCTGACTTCAGACGTGCCTGGTGGCTAGGAGAAGCCAGAACCTCCCCCAGCCCTAAATGCCAGTGCTGACTGCCTTTCTGTGTGGCTTCGGGGACTGTTTGAACGAGGGATGGGAGCCTCCTGAGGGTGCTCTGGCCACTGAGCTGTAGCATTGTTCACGCTGGCGGGGCCTTGGCAGTCCACTCAGCCGTCCTGTGCCGGAGCCTGAGCCACAGGGCAGGGGCTGAGCCCGCAGGTCCCGCTGCAGGGCCCCGCACGAGAGCCGCCTCCCAGGAGGGCTTGGTTGTGGTGGGCAGGGGCCCTTCCCTGAGATATTTTCACTCCGCCATTTCCTTTTTAATTTTTCTGTAACACTGGCCGTTTTTAATATCTGTCGATTTTAGAATGTTTAATAAGTATGACTGGGTTCTAGGATGGCTTGAGGACAGGAGTACTTTCCAGAACTTAGTAACAGTGAAATAAAGAAAGACCTATTTCCTGAGGAGGCTGTGGGGAAGCCTCAGGGTGAGAACCAGGAGTCCTGCCTCCCCGGTGTCTGGAGAAGCCATTTTAGTCTCCCCGAGTCAGTGTCTCCCAGAAAAATTATGGAAATTCCTACCGTTGAGAGATTTTTAAAAGCAGTTTGAAACATTAATTTCTGGAAAGGCACCTGAGGTAGACCTCAGTTCTACCCACCTTCATAGCGGCTCTCTCAGACCAGGAGGGGCTGCCTGAGCCTCCGCCCTCTGAGCGTGAGAAAAATGGGGTCCACTTTCTCATTTTTCTGGAAGCCAAAGAAAAGGGCCTCTGGCTGCATCATTTCTTTGGTCCTTCTTGGGGAGCTGAGACAGGGCTCCCACAGGTAGCAGTCTTCACAGGCCTCAGTGTAACTAAGGAGCAGCAGGTCTGAGGCCTGAAGGGCACAGAAGCCACAGCTGTTCATGTCTCCCCTGGTGGCCTCGTGGGTCAGGCAGCGAGTGAGTGGGGCCCCTGCATCCACACCAGCATCCGCCTGCCCCGGAAGCAATTCCTGCAGAGCAGGTTCCCACGACCTCGCAGCACTCTGGGATCCCTCAGGAAGGGACTGGAAGATGGTTTCCAGTGTGGGCTGGCTTTGGGGGCCCGTGGCATTATTCCCCCCTCGGAAGTAGAGATTGTTCCTCATGACGTAACTTCGGTACTTCCAGGTGCCCCTGGTACAGCCAGGTCCCCAAGAGCCACAGGATTCATTTCCTTTGCGACCAAACCTGTACTCCAACTGCGGGAATTTCCCAAGCAATGCCTTGACAGGTAAGTGTGAGCCAGCCCTCACCTTCTTCACTGTAGTTCTTTGCTGTGCTTTCACAGATCCTGTTGTAAGGTAGTTTGAACAACAACATTAGATAAAGCGAAAAATGGAAGTCCCCCAGCTCAGCTTTTCCTTTCCGAGTTGCAGGTGTCCAGCACAGAGATTTTGAGGCAGTGAGCATTTTCTGAAGGGCTTAGCGTTAAGGGATCGGCAACAGTTCAAGTGGAGAAAGCCTGCAAAAATTGGGAGTTGTGGAGCTGACTGGAAGGAACATAGACTCCAGAGCAGAGCTGTATGCCTGGAAGGGGTTGGGACACCGTGATCGCTGTCTTGGCTGGCATTTGGGGATGTCATCAGCTATGTTGTAGCCCGCGGCCCTCACGCCCCCTAATCTGCCCTGTTGTCCACTTCTTCCAGAAGACTCCAATGCCAGCCTCTTCAAAGACCTCAGCGGTGCACTGGCGGCCATGCCTGAGGTCAACCTGAGTGTGGACACTGACACTCCATTTCCATTGGAAGAAGATCTCCAGATTGAACCCCTGAGCCTGGACGGACTCAACATGCTAAGCGACCCCAGCATGGGCCTGCTTGACCCCAATGTTGAAGAGACGTTTCGAGCTGACCGACTGTGAGCAGAATAGAACAGAACATTAGAACTTATATCTGAAACAGCTAAAATAAAACAGAATACAGTGGAGCCAAATACACCCCTGGGCTTTTGTTGTCTTGGGCTTCTGACGCGGAAAGAACCGATTCTCCTGCTCCTGGCTTTCTGCTGAGGTCCGTTCTCATATACTGTGGCCTATTCCAGACGGCGGAGCGCTGCACTGCCTCTCCGGCCTGTGGCACCCGTTAGTGGCCAAAGGCGGGCTGACTCGGAGCTTCCAAAGGGGTGGTGATCACAGTCACCATCACATCTTTTTGTTGGCTGTCTAGTTGGTCCGTGTGTGAAAGTAGCAAAGACCACCGACCGGAGGGCCCAGCAGCGCTGTGCGGCGTTCGGAACCACTGATCTCACTAGACACTGAGGACGGGACCTGGCTGCTGTGGGCGGTGGTTGGGCCGCAGGCCTTCTGGAGTTGGCCCGGTGGGGAGCAACGGTACCACAGCACCGCGGGCCTTCTCCGATCTCATCGTCACTGCCGGGCACCTGCCGGCTCGTGGCGGGGGTTCAGGGAGGCCCGGAGAGCCACTGCGCCCTCACCCTCAGATGCCTTAATTCTAATACGAAGAATTTGCACCGTGAGTCCCAGAACAGACTGGAGTTAAGCTGGATGGTATTTTGTTTTCTTCCCAGTTGTAATCTCTTTTCTGCTGCTTCAGTTCCCCTTTTCCTATGGACAAGGGGAAAGGGAAGACTATTTTATTCAGTCACTGAAGAAAAGTCCCCTGCTAGTGGATGAGCCTGAAGAGAAAGAACAGTGCTTCTTGCTGGCTGTGGAAGCAAGATGGGGGCCAGAAGGCGTCTCGCAGACACGCCCTGGACTGCCCCAGACGTGCGCAGGCCTCCTCCCGGACAGACCCCCGGAGGGAACGGCTGCAGGTTTGACTCAGCCGTGAGCCACGCGGCAGCAGAGCGAAGCTCTTTCTCTGTGGGACGGGAGTGTTGACTCCTCTGGACCCTAAGCCCCCTGAGGGCAGGCAGGGACTGTGCCTTACTCATCATTGAATGCCTACTACCAACAAGTGCCTGGCACTGAACAGGTGCTCTGTCACAGCATGTCAAATGCGTGAATGAATGTACTCGTGGAAGGACGTGTGAGAGAATGCGTGGAGGGGTGCGTGAACGAGTGAATCCGCCTGCTGTGAGGCAGTCTGATCTTTAGCTCTCCCTGTTCCTCGCCAAATCTTCTCGGAGCTGTAGCTTTTCAGACACTTGTGCCTGTGGTTAAGTCAAGCATGCACTTTAATATGCTTTTAACACTAGGTGACCAAACCCACCGTTAGACGTTAGATGCTAGACGTCCACCTGCCTGTCTCCCTTGGGCTGTGCTCCACAGCAGGTAGGTGCGAACTGTCTCCTGAGGGCGGTCAGCCCCGCTGAGTGAGCAGAGGCCTCCCAGATGCCTCAGGGGTCCTGGCAGGCCCCACCTCAAAGTGCTTCCCTCTCAGATCCATAATTTTGCTCTAAATTGCTTTAAAATAGACATTCATTCTTTGAAGTTGAAGAAATTCTGTAGTAAAATGAAGGCCTGAGTCGTGAAATTATCATTGGTTATTAATATCTTAGCTCAGAATAGGATTACCATATTTCCACCACTGCCTGCCCCCTCTAACTTAGGCTAGGCCAGTCCCTGACCAGAAGCCCAACAGGTGGATTTCAGGGGGCCCAAGGGGGCGGGGCCTGCTGAACACCCCTGGGGAGGGGTCCGGGCAGAATTCGGGCGTGGCAGACCAGGTAGGGAGGACAGGGCCACTGAAGGAGAGGTGAGACATCCCGGAACCTTAGCCACTGCCCTTCCAGGAGATACCAGGAGTGTCCCTCCCTGAAGGTTGCTAGGCTGCTCCCAGCCCAAAGCAGCAGGGCTGGGTCACGCAGGTCTGAACCGGACACCTGTGTGCCTTATGGCAGGAAGAGCCTGTCACAGGGCCCTGGGCTGCTAACCTCTCCTGCTGGGTCCCATTCCTCTTCCACCTGCAGGGGGCTTGCCTGCCCTCCTTCCGTTCTGACGGCCCCAGTGGAGTGCCGCTCCATCTCATTGCGGAACCCAAGTCTTCCCACTTCACGTCAGCCCCCAGTCCCCACTGTTGAGCCAGGAAATCAAACCAGAGTCCTCCTTGCTGAGTGCCGGCCCAGGCAGGGCACATTGGCCTCCCCCTCCCAGCTTTATTCCAATTGAACTTTCATATCCCTGTCTACTCAACACCTCAGAAGGGTGTGGGGAGCGACTCGGTTAAAGTAAAGGGCCTTTTCTTCTAACGGTACGCAGCACCCCAGTGTGCCAGAGGAAGCCAACTGCTTGCTGCCTTTCCCGTGTCCAAGGCCCCCGACATCTGGTCTGGCCTTTCAGACAGGGAGCGGTGCTGATGTTAGAAGAGGTTTTTTTTGAAGACTGGAGCTCCCGGCATCATTCAGAGTGCCTTACGCACAGGGTCACCGGGGCGGGTGTCCCAGCTCGCTCTGCCCGTGGGCAGCCCCACTTCACAGGCCTCCAGGATGACCGTGCTGCTCGGGGCCTTTCTCCAGGCGGCTCCTGGCCTGGGGGATCCCCGGAACAGTGACCCATTTGGGGGAGTATAAGAATGACAGTGAGGTTTAGCACTGGATTAAATTTATCCTTAGGTCCATCCGTCCAATCTTTTCCTGTGAAAAGGCCTTGGGCATTGCACAACCCACTTCTCTTACCTGGTGTCCCGGGCAGGTCGCTGCCGTGACCGTTGGCGGTAAGTCTGCACTCACTGGTGCCTTTAAAAAACTGGGTGTGACCCTCAGCACCCAAAGTGGCTGCATACTAAATATTTTGCAATATTTAGAGTTGTTACAAGAAATCAATGGCTATCCTACTCATTTACTAGCAGTTAAACAGCATAGAACTAAAGCCTACCTGTGTTTCCAGTCTTTTCTTTCTGTACGGTTGTGGTTTTCAGAACTTAAGGTGTTAGGAGAAATTTTCTTGATCATGTCAAGATGAGCATAAATTCTCCTTTGTCCTGTTTCCTTTCTCCTAAGTCTGCTGTACATTACGTGAGCTGAACAGTGTGTATTCCAGTCTGTTTGCATATCTGAAGATGTTTCCAGTTCTGACTCTCGCCAGCTCTTAGGATTTTTGCACAGACGGTCCTGAGCAAGTTCGCATTGCTTGTGACCGGACCGTCACAGCAACTAATCAGCCAGTGTCCTAGTTAAACAGACCCCCTGTTAAACAATATTTAAAGATTGGAATTTGTATAAAGTAGCTTCCAAGTTTTATAATGTATCATGTTACATCTTTCGTAATTAAAAGCACAATGAGGTTGTATCTGCATTTGGTGTTTTCCTTCAGCCTCGCCTCAGATGAGATGAACTGGGGGAAAGCCTTTCTCTCTTGCCACCTCCTGTGCAGCTCGGCCTGCAGTTAGGGATTTCTGGTCCTTGGCTTGGCAGGCCCTGCCTCGACCTGCTTATCGTGCGTCCACACCAGGGAGAAGCTCAGAAAGGCCTAGGGCTCAAGGTTCCTTTGAAGCTGTGAGTACCAAAGGCAGAGGGCACCCATCCATGTTCTGCTCCCTCTGCTGTACCCCTCCAGACCCTGCTCCTGCCCTCCTCTGACACCCCTCCCCTGTGGAGGTTCAGGTCAGGCCACAGACCCTCTGGGTCCTGTGCCTGCCTTTAGCCCCGCCCCCCTCCCCTGCCCCATGTCCCAGCAGGGCTCCTGGCCTAGCCTGTCGTCCAACAGCCAGCATCCTGAGAGACCCACCTTGTCAGCCATGCCCAGGGTTTGTCTGAGAGGTGACTCTTCTGAAATCTTACTCAGAAATCCCGGCTCCGACCCTAAGTTCCTGAGCCTTCATTTCTGCTTTGGTCCACCCATACCCTGTGCTTTGACACCACTGAGAATCCGTCCCTTGTCCCTTCTCTCTGCCTGTCCACCCTCTCCTGGCTTCCCTCCCTTCCCAGGCCTAGTCCCCTGGGTCAGTGGCCTTTTTGCAGCCCTCACCAGCCCTCCTCCTGCCTGGCCCATGGCCACTCCCTGTCCAGATCCCTGCCCAGCCCTCTCCTGACCCCAGGGTGCACCTGGACCTCCCCAGGTGCAGGCCCTCACTTGTCCCTCACTTGTCCTCCGGGCCATAGGGGGTGAGGCGCAGCTCCCTGAGGGTCGGTTATTATCAGTATCATTTATCACGTGAACACGCGTGAGTATGTTCTTTCAGAGACAGGATGCACACATCCATAGAAATACTAAGTTTGTGTAATGCGGGCTTTGAAGCAGCTCATCTTAGTAGGGGAGGAATGTCCTACCTCAGTCTCGTTTGGGTCTTGTTTGCTTAATGAGCGTGGCACCTTCTGCAAGTACAGAGTTCAGGGTTCTGCACAAGCCGGCTATTCAGGGTGGGGCAAAAGTAGGGTTAGAGTTGTGAGCACACGGAACAGTCTACTGTACTATTGTTTATCAATGATTGCAATGCTGTCCATATGAACAACTGTAAACCTACTTTTGCCACACCCTATATGTGACTGTGCCCTGATGTGGACACTAGATGGAGCTGAGACCATAAGCGTGGCTCTCAGGGCTCAAAATACCCAGATAGAGCTACTTGACCCTCTCGGAATGAGCCTTTGGCCGGGCCTGGCACTGGTGTTGGCTGGAATTGTGCCCTCTGATGGCACCATGTATAAGCCTGCCTAGTGCCCAGTCCCCTGTGGACAATGAGACACCCCATCACACGCCCCTCACGGCCACCTGGGAGGCAGGCGGAGGCACGCAGGGCCAGGCTGGCTTCTCGGGCTCCCGGCTGAGGAAGCGGGCCCAGAGAGGCTTCATCCCAGGGCTGAACCAGCGGGGCACCGCGCACCCTCACGGCGGGCAGTGGGCAGGGAGCCGCCCGAGGAACCACCCCTGGGAGCAGGAGGCTGGGGTAACAGGTGCCAGCTAAGGAGGAAAGGAATTTCTCATCCAGAAATTCTGTTTAAGGCTTTGCTTTTATTGCAGTAGAGCATACTCATCGTGAGAAATTCACATGATACCGAAGAGTACAAAAGCCATGGAGGCGCCTCCTTCAAATATTCAGGGAAAGGGGCAGGTAGATGGATGGAATTTTTTACCAAAAAAAAAAAACCCAACCATGCTATCTTTGGAAAAAGTACTTCAATTTAACAGAACAAAAAAAGAAAGCCCAAGTGTACCTAGAAATTGCCAAACTGCCAATAATGAAGAAGCACATTATTATTTCTCTGAAAGGAAAGAAAATCGACCAAGAAGCCGGATCCATTCTTCAAACCTGTTTTCGGCCATAGACGGCGTCTCTAGACAGCCTGCGAGGTAGGACGAGGAAATGAGCTCACCCACTTCCTACCTCCCGCCCCGCGCCCCACGCCGCGCGCTCTCTGTCGCACATTGTCAGCCTTCGGGCTGCCTGCATCCTGTCCCACAGCCATCCTTCCCACCATTGTTCGGCCCCAGCCCCCGGTGCGCGTGGGTCCCCTGTTCACTTCCAGCCCCTGCAGGATGGGCTTCCCAGCCCTGCAGCCCCAAGTCCTTTCCTTTGACTCACCTCGTGGCTGCCTTGACTGTGTTCTCCAGGGGCCTATTCAAGAAGAAGGGCCGTAGCAATGATAGGGGTGCAGCTCCTGGGCTGCCAGGTGGGAGGCCCGCACCGCAAAGTGGGGGTGGGTGGAATGTAGCCGGGCGCAAATCCTCAGTGTAGGGACAAGACGACTCTGGAAACTGAGTCTTAAATGTGTGTTTCGTGACATGCAGTTGAAGTTTTAGAATTTGGAAGGAAAATCACTATGGTGAGGGACCCGGGGAGTCCTGTGTTCAAAGAAAGGACACACCGGGTCTCTCGCTCAGGGCTGTCCCTATGACCGTCCCCCCACACTACCCGAAGGACCCCACCCCCATGTCGTCCCTTCGAGGGCAGTTCCCTGTCTCATCTTCACTTGGAAAAGCTCGATGTCTCCTTCAGGGCCCAGGTCCAGGGACACCACCTCTGCGAAGCCTTCTGTGAGGTTTGGACCATTGTTTGACGGGCACTGATAGGTCCTTCCTCTCCCACACTGTGTGGGAGCGGTAGACCTCCGGGACCCTTTGCCCTTGGGCTGTGCTCCGTGACTTGCTTCAGCCAGTGAGATGTTTGTTTGGAGATGAAACCCAGAGCGAAGCCTGGACTTGCCCCAGATGGCAGAGCCGGTCCCCTCAGGCTTCCACCATTGCCACTGGCACAGCTTCCCCACTGTGTAGCCTCTGGTCCCAGCAGCACGAGGGACAAGACACGCCTCACACCCACGCCCACCAGCCATCAGGCAGGCCTCACTTAAATTGCCAGGGCCGTCCCAGGGAATCAGCAGACACACGAGCTGGAAATAAACGCTCGTAACAGTAAGCCGTGAACCGCAGGGCCATTTGTCCTGTAGCATTGTTGTGGCAATCGCTGACTGATAACCTCTGTTGGTTTCCTTTTTGATTTTGAGCTGCACTTTGTTCCCATAGGTTTCTTAACTCTAAGGCTAATGTTGTTACAGAGTCTGGCCCCGCCCCCCACCCGGCCCGGGTCAATGAGCAATTTCAGGCAAAGACTCTGATTCAATTCTGACTCCCCAGTGCCCAACTGAAAGGCACCCAACATCACCCTTTCCATCCGTCCTCTCTCCAGGACAGCCCAGTCTGGGTGGAGAGCCCATGGCCTCTGCTTTCAGGACTAGCCTACAAGTTTGGACAAGAAGAGTCGAAAGCCCTAAGCTTCAGGACCCACCACTAAGGAGGACACTCAGGCACAGGCGCCCCCTACCTCAGAGCACCAGGGACCCCGGCGGCTGCTCTCCTGGCCAGGCAATTGTGTACAGACAGGCCCTGGTGAGTACAGTAGGGGACTCAGAGCAGGGAGAGCACTGAGCCCTTTGTCCAAACACACACCAAGAGCCTTGGAGTGTCGAATCTCAGAGAGCGGATTTGTAGATGCCCAGGCAAGGTCAGGGGCCGGCTCCCTGACCTTGCAGACCCGCCTGAGGGAGCTGCACTGGGAGCCAGGGTCTGGGGCAGCGAGGGGTGGCCGCTGGCTGGGTTTCCCCAGCTCTGCCCACCAGCATCTTGTCATGATAACCTGGGTTCCACCTGGCCTGGTTTCCTTATAATTTATCATCCAAACCAGGATACTTCCGAGAGTGAAAGGAGGCCCTGTTAATAATTGTGCCAGGACAATGGACACAAACGGGGACCCAGGTTCAGCCCGAGTGAATAGGAGGGAGAGCTGGAGGCAGAATTGCTTAGGGCACGAGTGCGTAGGTTCTGGAGTTCCAGAGACCCAGGTTCAAATGTGACCTCCACCCTTTGACTGTGAAGCCAGGACAAGTCAGTGTGACCTTTGTGTGCCTCGGTTTCTTTATAAAATGGGGTGATGAGACCCACCGCGTTAGGTTGTGCCTGACCCTAGTAAGCACTTTTTACGTTTGCTATCCTTTTCATGTTATTCTTTTTGTTAAGTGAACATTTGACATTGCTAGGCCTCAGAAACACAACAAAAGGATGCATCTGAGCCTCCACCCTCCTGCTAAGGAGCCGGAGTGGCTCGCCAGCCTGGCCGAGCCCCCAGCAGCTGCCCCTGGGCTTCTGATGCACCAGGTTCCTGCTTCGGGAGCCTCAGGCCATCCTTAACCGATGCTGGCTGACTTGCACTGACCTGCTGGAAGCCTGGCAGGTGAATAAGTGCTTGCAAGCACCGAGTCTCCCTTAAGTGTTTCTTCTGTAGGGGCTCCCTTTCCCTCCACCAAGCCCTGCACACTCCAAGGGGCTGGTTTTACTGGTTGCAGGCAGGCAGAACCGTATAAGCTGGAGGTCACTTGGGCACAGACCCCATTCCCTGCCATGCTGGCTTCATCCACTTGGCCAATCAGGTTTTTTTTTTTTTCTTCAGCAATTTAAAGATTGAGCAGGAGATACACAGAGTCTGGGGGCTGTTGAACCTGAGCCCCAGTGTCAGTGGCCTAGAGAGAAGGTTCGGGGCTGGGCCCCTGAGAGGCCCCTGTTCTGCCATCAGGAGCCTGGCCATTCAGCAGCGACTCCAAGTCGGTGCTACCCACTAATTTCCTTGTAAATCCCCTGGAGCCAAGACTGGCTTTGGCAGCTTCCAAAGTCTGAGCTTTCCGGGAGCAGCCTGGGAACCACAGCAGCTGCGTCCCTGCCCCGGCCTGCGGGGCTGGCCTGCCGTCTGGTCTCCTCCGGTCCCCGCAGCTCTGCCTTCTCTGTCTCTCTTGGGTCAGGCGGTGGCAGTGGCAGCTGGTGAAACATGTCACTTTTTGTCTCCAGTTTTCTTTCTCCTTTCTTTCTTT